TCCCTACACTATTTGCAAGTCCACAGAGTCCTTACAGCCATTGTGTGGCTGTCATCAAGTTGAGAATTAAGGGCCCAGGAATTTTCTGTGTTTATTCAGTACAACCTGAACTCCTCAAAGGTTGATGAAGTGGTAGCATCTTGGTCCTTCAAACACTTCAGCACCTGTATATAACAAAAAGTGGCTGGAGACCCCAAGTGCCAGCAGCATCCCAGAGCACTCCAAGCTTCCCCAAACCCCTCCCACTGTTGCTCTGAGCTCTGCCAAGCGCCTGAGCCCAGGTGACAACACCAAATACTTGTCCACCTGCAACAAGCTCCAGTGCAAGACAGGCAGCCAAGTGCTGAAGACTGCAATCTGTACAAATAAGAAAGATTCCTGCCCCTGTAGCACTGAGAGCCCTGAAATATGCTTTTAGCATCCCCTGAAAAAAAGCTGGAAGACCATCTACCCACTTCCAAAACATTTAAATTATGAGGACAGCTCTTCCTTCAGATAAGTTTTATTCCATTTTCAGCCTTTTGACAGACAGAGCTCATGCAGACACCTGAATCCCAACCAGCAGCTCTGAAACAGCAAATGCATGAGCTCCAAAGGCAAGCTCCCCCCACCCTCAGTCTCATGCCAAAGTCTGGAAACAGCAGCTAACTGCCTAACTAGCATCACCCTTCATCAAAAGGCTCCAGGAACACCCAGAAGGAAAGTTAACCTGTCCCATGCAGATACAGGCAAGCATTTAGCCAAAAAGCTCAGTCTAGCCTCTGCTGCTTCTCATCTCCTCAATCTTACAGGAATCGAGTGCTCAGTGTGGATAACAACACATAATTAAACTGCTGCTCTAAGCTTTAAATTTTCTAGTGTGAAACAATTCCCTATAGCAAACCAACTGCATTGGCAGTGTTAAACTGCCATACCATACAGAAACCCTGGAAGTAGGCAATGTTTGCTTCTATCCAGAAACAGTTTTTGCACTTCAGGGAACTGCCACAGGAAAATGCTGACTGGGTAACACTGCCTCAGTACCTCTGAAGGATGATGTTGAAACCTGCTACAGCCACTCTGCCTCATGCAAAACAACCTCCCTGAGCAGAAAATAAGCCATGACAACAGCTTTTACACAGTTCTGCTTCATCAGGTAGGTCAGAAACTCCTCAGCTGTGTGACAGTGACATGCAAGTTTGCTGGCATTGGTCTGGAAAACCCAAAATAAAAGTCTATTTATGGGCCTTGCTTTCTGCCCCAAGTCCTCTGCCTCGCTACTCGATCATAGGAGAGCAGGATGCAGATGCAGCTCAGCAGCTGAAGGGCAGAGTTCGCATCCCAACTGCAGATAGGCTGCTTAGACTGCTGGGAATAAGGGGAGATTTGCCAAGGTCCTGGTCAAGCATAGGCCCACTCTAATAAGTCACCTCACATTTTACCCAAGATCTGAATGGCTGCCTGGGGCCTACTCCCCCCATTCCTCTTCCTCAAGAAAGCTATCAGTTTACTGAAAAATCTGGTGTACATGAAGCAAAAGGCATTGGGAGCAAACACTCCCGGGTGCAGCAGAAATCTTCCTCTAAACATTACTGCCCTCTGGCAATGTATGCCTTAAATGTCCAACTCATCCAGCCATGCTGGAAGACTGCAGTTATACAAGTTACTTTCCCCAATCTTACGATATACTGGTGTGGTCATTGGGCCTTATTTCCCCAGAAGTCCACTCCGCAAAGCGTGGGGTTTTCTCTCAGACATACCTATACAACTTTCTTAAGATGCTTTTTCAGCATTCAGCTCCCCCACCATTAAGCAGGGGAAGAAGCAGCAGCAGGTCAAGGAACCTGCCATAAATACTCTCAGAAACAATATTTCTGTATGAAGTTGCATCATCTTCTAAGTTGTCTCAGTATGCCACAAAATCTGTTCATTATATTGCCTATCAATTAAATCTAAATTAAGTTAGATCAGGAGAAAGCACATAGAATTTATTGGGCCTGAGTTGCTCCTTACTGGTTTATTGCCCCTTCATAAGTGTGAATTTTGTTGCAGTTCACAAGTAGTAGCAGGAAGAACAGAGGAACCAAGTTTAAGTACAGTAAACAAGTCATCTGTACAATATGACATTAGCTAGACAGCTTGTTTTACTAAGGCATATTTTATTCTGTCTCACGTTACCTTTTGCTAGAGGTTTAGTACAGGGGAA